AACGGTTCGTGCACTTGCGAGTATCACAAGTTGAGGATGCAGCTTAATCCATTTTGGTGGAGCTAAATCTACGCAACAGTTCCTAATGCTTAATTTTAGGTTAGACAACAAATGATCAAATTAGGGAATTAGGAACACAAGGTTATGACCACACACCATGGCTTAATCATACTTTAGCTAGAATCAATCCATTAATCTAAATTGAACTTGGGAACTTATCTGCTTGAGTTAGTTATTTCTTTCTTCCTTGTTTTATTTATTTCCTTTTGTTTTCATTTATGTTTTGTGTAGGGAAATGAATTGGATCATTCAATCACCAATCCTTGTGGGATCGACCTCGCACTTACATATGCTATACTACCTAACGGCTCGTGCACTTGTGAGTATCACAAGTTGAGGATGCAACTGAATCCATTTTGGTGCAGCTGAAATCCACGCAACAGGTGGGTCTGGTTCTTTTCTTTTGTTCTTTAAGCCTACTGCCTAGCAATTTTTCAAACTTATGCACTGCAGGGCTGGTCTAAGCGGCGCTGGGAGGCTCTGGGCGGCCTGGGCGGGTCTAGGCGGCGCTAAGCGGGTCTGCACGGCTCTAGGCGGGTCTACGCGGCACTAGGCGGGTCTAGGCGGGTCTAGGCGGTGCTAGGCGGGTGTGAGTGCCAGGGTGGGTCTGGTTCTTTTTAACTTATGATTTGGTTATGTTTTTGAGTTAAACTTGTGCTTTTAATCATTTTTGTGTTTATCTTTCAGTTCATTGAGCTTTAGGTTATGACCACACACCGTGGCTTAATCATACTTTAGCTAGAATCAATCCATTAATCTAAATTGAACTTGGGAACTTATCTGCTTGAGTTAGTTATTTCTTTCTTCCTTGTTTTATTTATTTCCTTTTGTTTTCATTTATGTTTTGTGTAGGGAAATGAATTGGATCATTCAATCACCAATCCTCGTGGGATCGACCTCGCACTTACATATGCTATACTACCTAACGGCTCGTGCACTTGTGAGTATCACAAGTTGAGGATGCAACTGAATCCATTTTGGTGCAGCTGAAATCCACGCAATGGGCGGGTCTGGGCGGGGCTGGGAGGGTCTGGGCCGCACTGGGCGGGTCTGGGCGGCGGTAGGCGGGTCTGGGAGGCGCTAGGCGGCTATAGGCGGTCCTAGGCGGCTCTAGGCGGGTCTAGGCGGCACTAGGCGGGTCTAGGCGGCGCTAGGCAGCTATAGGCTGGGCTAGGCGGCTCTAGGCGGCGCTAGGCGGGTCTGGGTGCCAGGGTGGGTCTGGTTCTTTAGGGTTTATGGTCTGGGTGCAAGGGTGGTTCTGATTCATATGGAAAGATGATCCTGACCTGGAACTAACAAAACCTCCACCTGATGTTGGTAATATGTTGGTTCTCTCCTATAGAGCAGCAACATGTACTATTTCCCAACCTCGTCGTCTGAAGACAATTGCTTTGCTCGCTCACTCAAGCCAACCTCGTCGTCTGAAGACAATTGCTTTGCTCGCTCACTCAAGCCAACCTCGTCGTCTCCCTCGTCTGGTTCTTCTTTGTTGATTGTTCGTTGTCTGTCTGTCTGTCTTGTCTTCGGAATATTAATTCAGGAAAGTCAAGCTTTGCGCAACAAATGCAAATGTCATTGCCTTGAGTGAAACAACCTGATGTCATCACCTGCAAAGGTATGTATGTTATTTCTACAATGCATGCTTGCTGCAATCTTCACATTCACAGTATGAATAGGGAATTTGCTTCTAATTATAGTTATTAATCATGTATTATTTTGTTTTTTTTTTTTTAAATTGTAAAAGCTGCGGTGGCATGGGAAGCTGGAAAGCCTTTGGTGATAGAAGAAGTGAATGTGAATCCACCTCAGGCAATGGAGATAAGGATCAAGGTCGTCTGCACCTCTCTCTGTCGCAGTGACATCACTGCCTGGGAGTCTCAGGTACTCTCCTCTTCTTATTTTGTCCTCCTCTTTTCCCCCTTTCTTTTCTTCTTCTTTTCAACACAAATAGAGATAAAACAATATAAATTTTCCTTCAATTCTTTTTTTCTTGTTTCCTACTTATTGAACATCTAGGAAAATAATCATTATCTGGCTAGGAAAATTCGTTTAACTATTACTTATGGTTTCTGTCTGACCAAGAAAAATTAAAACTTTGTTTGTGCCACTGCCAGTGCCAGACATGCTTTCTTCTTTCTGGATGGATTAATTTTCTTGTAAAACAATTGTTCAAGATTAGTCATTAAAGTAACTGAGAAGAAGTAAACCTTGGTTTAAAGTAGTGAACTTATCCATGAATTAATATCCTGTTTAAATTTTTCGAAATTCAGACCTATCAGGAGCTAAGTATCAACTGACTATTCATCTTACTGAAAAAAGTTATTTATGTATGTTGATACCAAAAATATGATTATTATGGATACCCCTTGATGGTTACTGAACATGGATTCTCCTTAAAGAGCATCTTCTACCTTCTCCCTCACATCATCACATGAAGCAGGAGAATACTTGTATTTCATCCACACCGACGTTCTTTCAATGCAGTTATACTTCCCTGATAAGAACTTTGGAAAAAGGGTGCTGAATTTATTCATGAGAATACTGGTATTTCATCCTACTCCATTTCCCCCTGTTATTTTGCAGGCTATTTTTCCTCGAATATTTGGCCATGAAGCAACAGGGTAAGTTATTTCCCTATTTTTTTTCATCTACTTATATTTATATTATAGTACTAGCTATCTTATGTAAGATTGAGAAACTATAGCATAATGCACAAGTGGTTTCCAATTATCAGGCCATAAAATTGTTTAGTCAATTTCTTAGTTAATTTTTTATATTCTAGATGTATATGCCTTGCTTGTAACATGTGTAGAGCTAAATTGGCCCTTCCATTGGATGCTCAGGTTTGGGTTAGAGGTGATACTTGAGGCATAAGTGAGGACAATGCTTGGCTCCTCACTGGTGAGGAAGAACTTTTTCCTTCCTACTGAGGTGTCACACTCACCATTTTCTCCTATTATCTTTGCAACATTAAATGATTATAGTTAACAACAATTTAATATGGTACTCCCCACCATTTTCAACAATTCATGCTTTTAAATCGGTGATTACCTTCATCCACACTGGTGAAGAGCCAAGCATTGTTCTAGGAGTGATACAATCAGAGTGTGTTGAAGATAACCATGATATACTGAACTGTTGCTCTTGTGACACACTACAGCACCAAAACTTATTTCCTTAGGTTTGAAGTAAAGGACAGTTTCACTTATATAAGAAATACAAAAAGGCGTAGAGAAGATATCAATAAGGTTTGAATGGTTTGTAGGGTGAGGATGATCAACTACTCAGATATGCTATACAGGTGTAGCTAGAAATTATTGGTATCGGGTAGAAGTTTCTTTGCGGTGCCAAACTAAATGACCTGAAAATAGAAGTTTAAATACTAGAATGTGAATGAGAATATCAAATAATAATTTCTAGTGGGAGCATAAAAAAGCTAAAGCACAAATAATCACTGATGTTTGTAATATTGCAGTTGCCCTGCACATAGGCGTATAATTTGGTTCGCGCGGTGTTTGTCTGTGCTCATGTTGTAATAGAGGAATGAATTTTCCGTTCATGATAAGTTTCTTCACAATTGGATGAAGATGGCAGAAAAATGGATTGATCCCAGTGCTCCTATTGATATTAATTCGCTTCAAATCTGGAACTTACAGTGACATTCCGAGGAGATGGAGATGGATCACGCCGTTTAGAGAAAACCCTAGCCTTAGCTTGATCCACGAAGAGAGGGAAAATTCATAGTGTAGGAATCGAAGCAAAACCAAAATCCTAGTAAGATTGATTTTTGGGTTTCTTGAGCTCAAATTTGTATTCGAATATCTATACTTTTTAAATATTAAAATAAATTTTAAAAAGTATTTAAATATATACTGGGATCCTTTTTTAAAAAACCAAAATCTTTTCCTAATTTTCTTTTATCGATAAGAGTAGTTTAGAGCATTATCCATTACTATTTGGCCATTATCCGAGTCTCCATTGTCTCCTTTTGATTTTTAACTAGCATTTTCCCGTTTAACACTTGTATTATACATATACATATGTATTTTTTTTAATAATACTTTCATTTTGCATACACGTCTTAAAAACTTAGTAAAACACACGTATGTATATATTTTTCATGTTGAATACACGTGTTTTTTAACAAAATTTTCAATAATACATACAAAAGTAAGTATTATACACATAAAATTATATTAAAATATTATATGGTGGCCGAACTTTTCAGTTCCAGAAAATTTTCTTTTTCGTAATTACATAATATCTTAGACTTATTTAATTATTATTCCTTTAGTGAATAATTAAATACTTTAATTAACTTAATAAATGGTAATTATTATTTTTATTCAATCAAATATTTAAATACTAATTATTCACTAAGTAAATAGTAATTAAAAAGGAGAAATCAAGATTATGCTATTCAAAGGGTATAGCCGGGCGGCTATACTTTTAAAATATTCTATTTAAAATTTCCTTTTCAAAATTTTCTTTTTTATTCATTAAATAATATCTTAGCCTTGTTTAAATACTTTCATTAGTTATTATGTTTTAATTATTATTTCTTTAGTGAGTAATTAGCATTAAATATTTTAATAAAAATCCTAGAAATTTAGTTTTAGTACCCAAAATATTTTAGTATTCTAAAAATTGATTTTAGCCTTGAAACTTAAATCCAAGTCACAACGTGATTAGATAATATCAACTGCTTGTTGGAGTTTAATTGAAATACATGAACTTGAGTCCCACATTGGAAAAGAAGAGAAAGTATCTACTCCTTAGTAGGCTTATGGTTAGGGTTCGAGGCTTAAGAAAGGTTTGGGAACAATTTCGGAAGCTAGGGTTTTTGGTTCGAGACTTGGATTTACCCAAACTAATTTTGTGAGAACAAATTCCATAATTAATTACTATTCATTAAGTAATTTATGAAATGAGCAAAATATTTAAATATTCACTAAAGAAATAATAATTCAACATAATTACCAATTAAAGTAATTAAGAAAAGGTTATGACATTACTTAATTACATATATTAAACTAAAGAAGTTGGCCAAAAAATAAAATTGAAGAAACTAATTTTACATGTTTAAAATAAATATAAATATAAATAAATCCAGAAAACCTCTCCCGACGAAAGTTCGTCGGCACAGGTCTATCCTGACGAATTAGAGTTCTCGCGACGAAATTTCGTCAACAGAGGTAATTTCGTCGGGGCAAGTCTTATACCTATGCTGACGAAATTTCGTCGAGAGAGATTTTATAACATTCTTCTAGACCATATCTAGAGTGCTAAAGTATCCGACTTTGGGACTTCAAAATCAGTTCCCCTTGACAAAACTCACTTAACCACAGAAGTACAAGGAACTTTTGGGTACATGGATTTAGAGTACTTCCGATCTAGTAAATTTACAGATAAAAGTGATACCTACAGCTTTGGAGTCACACTTGCAGAAATATTAACTGGGAAAAGCCCATTTTCTTTTGCTAAAGATGACGGGGAAAATCTGGTTGCTTCTTTCATTTCACTGACAAGGGAAAACCAACTTGTTCAGATTTTGGATCCTCAAGTGGTTCGAGATGCAGAGATGGAGCATGTTGGAGCAATTGCTGAGCTTGCAACAAGGTGTTTGCGGCTGAATGGGAAAAAGAGGCCTAGTATGAAAGAGGTATCAACAGAGTTGGAAGGATTGAGGAACACTCAAAGATGCCTAGAAAAGTTCCAAGAGCCACAGTCATTCAAAGATGAAACAACATTCATGCACTCTACCAGTGAAACCATGAAAGATCATACAGAGGAAAGCATTCTCTGAGCCAGTGGGGCAAGTTTCCCTTTGCTCCAACGCAAGTTGTGGGCCATTAGTTGATAGTAAATTGCCCTTTGCCATACTCATACTTCTACTTAAAATACTAAATTCATCCTCGTCATACTTCTCCCTTCGGAAACCAAAATGAGATGTCCTCTTTGTGTAACTAATAGGCCTCTGGAGGTGTTCATTGCCATTATTGCAAACATAAGCCGGCTGGAATAATGGCCTCCTCCAGGCATTACCTCCTCTACACGCATCAACATTGCCAAATGAAAGTCCGGGTTCATCTGCTGTATTTTCTTTCTAGATTCCTGTTTTTGGACCCAAGAAGTAGTGGGAGTCCAAAGAACTGCCTTGTGCTATCGAGTACTTGAATTGAGGAACACATATGCCACTCAAAAGTTTTGACTCTTCCTCTTCCCACCGCTCAGCTAAGTCCCTTCCACCCTCCATGATGAGAGTGCAATCTTGGATCCCTTAACATAGCATCCCAATTGTCCCTTCCATGTCTCCTCACACCTATCCAAAGAAAATCCAACTCCTCTTCAGACCACATGGTACTATATGGCTTATATTTGTCATGAAAACTACTCCTTTCATTGAAAGCTCTTGCTCAGCTTGCAATGCTATCATGCATAAGCTTGTGTCTCAACACTGATGATAAATGGCTCGAGGAAGATTGGAGTGCTGCATCTCGGATAAATTCTCTGGTTTCAATGACAGAGTTCAAGAAGGGAAATGCACTGAAGCAGGTATTGGTTGCACATCCTGCAGTCAAAGGGTTTTCTGATAAGGATAGACCTAGTAACAGAGGAGATTCTTGTTCTAGTTGATTATTTTTGCCTCCCAACTGAAGAATTTCTTCTTTGTTCTGAAGCTATAGAAGCCGCCACCACAAGCTGTGTTGTCACTAGGCCAAAAATGTCGCTGGTTTTTTCTTCTGAAAATAGCTGGAATCAATTCCAAACATTAAAAGTAAAATAAGATTAGTTGACAGCCAAATCATCTCCAAAACTTCAAACAAGAAGACTTACAAATCTCAACTGCAGACACTGGTTTTTTGGTGTAATTTCCTTGGAAAATAGAGGACTAACTTTATCATCATCATTGCAGCTGTCACCAACTTCTAAAAATTCAAACGCATCTTTGTGTAACCGTGAAGCATGAGTTTCTTGTTGTAAAATTGGCTCACATTTAGTATGCAAGTGAAGGAGGAGGCGACCGGTCGCTGGGTATTTACGACCGGTCGTTTTGAAGCAGATTCGAAGTCTGGAGGAGAAGCTGGAAATCGTGACCAGCGACCGGTCGCAAGGTGCAAGCGACTGG